GGTGGTGGCGGCCGACACGCTGGGCTCCTACGGGTCGCTTGCCCGCTTCCGCAACATCTCGCGCATCATGAAGGTGAACGACAACACGGTGCTGGGGGCGTCCGGAGACTACGCCGACTTCCAGTACCTCAAGCAGGTCATCGACCAGATGGTGTAAGTGCTGCGGGTTGGGGTCCCGCTGTGCCAGGCGCTCCTGGCCCTTCGCTCGCCTGGAGGGGCCCCGTCGGTAACTCTCCCCTGCCTTAAATTGAAACGTGCGGCAATAAAATCAGAGCAGATTCTTGCCCCTCTCACCCAGCGGCTCTTCAGAGGTCTCCATCTGTTGCTGTGACACCTATTTCCACCCATTGGGTCTCATGCCCATCCTGCTCAGCCAGCCGTGTGCCTCCTGGCTCTGAGCCTGCGCTGGGGTGGAGGGGTTATGCTGTGCTTTCGAGTTGCGGCCTTAAAGCTCCCATCAGCTCAGTTCTGAGTCTGTCTCTGGGAGACATCTGTCCTTGCTGGCCCCTGGGTCTTTGGCTGATGAACTCTGGTACGGGTTGCCCATGCTGACAGGCTGGTCGGGGTTTAGCATGTGGCACCTCTTCCTGTTCCTGGCAGTGGGTGAGGCGGGGAGTAGTTGCTGGCAGATGCATGTATTCAGGCCAGGTGGTTCGTAGCTCTTTCTGAGTGGCATCAAACTTCCCCCTAGAATCGACGAGGAGCTGCTGGGCGACGGGCACAACTACAGTCCAAAGGCCATTCATTCCTGGCTGACCCGAGCCATGTACAGCCGGCGATGCAAGATGAACCCACTCTGGAACACCGTTGTTATTGGAGGCTTCTACAATGGCGAGAGGTGAGCCTGGCCAGGGTGCACAGCGTCCCCACTGTGATGGTATTGCGCTGTGGGAGCCAGCTGACCTTGCTGCGTTGGCTCTTCTTTGTTCAAGCCATGAGCTGTGTGAAGTGCTGGGGGAGCTGTTTGGAAAAGTGACGCTGTGTCTTGGAGCACCACTCCTGTCTCTCTGACTGGGCCTGAGCCTTCTTGCAGTCAGTGTGACAGCCCCCAGGTCTGCCCTCCCTTCCCCTGCTTGGATGTTTCAGCCCTAGCAGTTGCATTACCTTGCATGTGCAGCTACATCTGAAAGGGCCTCATTTGTGCACAGGCTTGGCCTGCCGGCTGCGGAGAATAAAGTGAGCACTCAGTGCCCTGCCTTCCCTATGTGCCGCTGGCTACGTAGGACAAGGCTTGCCCCAGATGAGAGACAGCCTGTATTTCAGACTTGCCTTTACTGTTGGCTGTTTCCCAAACCATTTCAGGGAGGAGCTGGCTTTCCTGGTGTCCATGCACTTCTTGCATATGAACAGGCCCGCTCTGATCCAACCTGTCAGACAGGGAGCACCTGAGGTCTGTTCAGAAAGCACCTGGAGGGAGAGGGGGAGCAGCAGGCTTGAAGGCCAGAAAATATTCTCGGTGCAACCCCCTTGAGTGCAGGCAAGAGGCTTGTTGGACACTGACCCTTAAAAGAGCAGATGGATTATAAAATGCGAGCCCCGACATTCCTCCTTTCCCTTTTTCTGAAAGCTCATGAGATGATCCCTGCAACACGTGGTTGCTGTCCTGCATCCCTCAGTCCAGCGGGATGATGTGTGCTGCAGTCATCTTGCCATTGAGGGGCTGTGGCCAGGGAGGCAGGGGCAGGGGCAAGGGGGCTGACTCACTGCTTCAGCTGGTATTGGACTTCCTTCCATAAACTGGAGTCAGGAGTGGCACCACATCCCATGGCCCCCGCACAGGCAGTAACCAGTCTCCCATGGTGTGTGTTCAGTTTCCTAGGTTATGTGGACATGCTGGGTGTTGCCTATGAAGCCCCTACGCTGGCGACAGGGTATGGAGCTTACCTAGCTCAGGTGAGTGCTTTGGGGCAGGGAGCAGGAGGCCTAGGCTCAAGGCCACGTCCTAGCTCCGCTGACCAGCCTGGAGTAGCTGCAGCTTCAGGCCAGTGCTGCCTAGTGCTTGAAGGTCTGTTTTTCTTCAGCCGCTGATGAGGGAAGCTCTGGAGAAGAAACCCATCCTGACGAAGGAGGAGGCGCAGGACCTGATTGAGCGCTGCATGAAAATCCTCTACTACCGGGATGCCCGGTCGTTCAATCGAGTAGGTGTCCTGCTTTGAGCGGGCTGGGCTGGCACCAGCTCTTGGGCCTCATCACAAGTCACCTTCAGGCACAGTACATTGCTCTCTTAGCAGTTTCTGTCTCCAACTTCATAGCTACTGGGGCTTCACACTGTCCGAGAGAGAAGTGGAGGCTGTGTGGGCTTATGGAGCCCGCCAAACTGAGGGGTGTTCTAGAACAGGGCCATGGGGTACTCGGTGCTTCAGCTAACTGTATAGGATTGTGTTGGGTGCAGACAGCAGAGCACAGGTTGAAAGGCAAGTGAACTGTTCTGCTGAAACAACTTCCCTGGTCCTTTTGTGGTGATGTCTCCTTGGGTCCTAACGCATCAACTTGCCTGTCATTCTGACCACACCTGCAAATTCTTGCTGTTTATTCTCCTCTACAGTTTCAAATCGCTGTCGTAACAGAAAAAGGAGTGGAAGTGGAAGAACCTCGCTCTGTTGAAACCAACTGGGACATAGCACATCTCATCCGGTAATGTTTGCTAAAGCTCACAGGCTGCATTGAGCTAGACTGATGGTGTCTCCATCCTGCCTCCTTGGCATCAGCCTTTAGGAGCCACACGCCAGCTGTGTTTGTAATGGTGGTTGGGTCTCTGGCTGCGTTGCATATTGGAGACAAACCAAAGTAGATAGTTTTAGCCAGGAGGCCTGCCTGGCTTGGGATCTGGGCAGGACCTGAGGCTGGAGTTCCTAGCTGTGGCCGGCAGGGGGAAGTATCTACTCTAGAAAGGCATCTTCTGCACCAAAGGGAAGCTTCTGAAACCTTTGCGGAGTTGAGTGGCCTTGTTTGCAGGGCCTGAAGACTCTGTTGGCCTGGAGCCCTCTGGAAGTGGGAAGGGTTTTGCCCAACTCCCCTGCCAGCTCATTTTCCGCTTACCTAGGACAAATTGGTTATAAGTTGACCTAAACTACTCTAATTCAGCTTTTGGGCATATTGATGGTGACTGCATTCTGGTTGTTGAACACCCTGACCTTTGTGATTTCTTCCTGCAGGGGCTTTGAATGAGCACTGAAGAACGAGCACTCCAGGCTGCCAGCTCTGCAGTCTCCCTTTGCATCCTATAATCAGTTATTTCTGCTGATGCTGTAATCCACCTCGATGTGGAAGTTTTGTAAATGAAGTAAACTTGTTGAAACATGTTGGTTTCTTTGCACTGTCAAGGCTGAGCTGTGCTTTGTGGGACACGGAGCTGGGTGTATACAAAGCTGAGTCAAGCTACAGACCAAAGCATTGCAGCTTTTGAGGGCTCAGAGAGAATTGGGCATTTCTGTTCTCCTGTGGAGCCATTAGCTATTTTCCCAGCTGCTTGGGGCAAGAGCAGTTGGCTTTGAGCCTTTTTAGAGCAGCCCTGTCAGATGCATCCTTCACAGTTACCTGGGCTCGTATGTGTATGTCTGCTACTACCTTGTATGCCCTGCATGCGCAGCAGCCTCCCGTGTTCTTCTCCCTGCAGAGCTGTTCCTGTCCAGAAGCTCCTCCAAATGTGCAGACATGAGCATGTTCTAACCTTGCAGCCTTGGGCTCCTTGTCTTTCCACCTAGCAGCTTCTACTTGGGTTGTCCTGCCTATATTGAGTGCACAGCCTCCACTGCTCGTCCCACCAGACGGCTTTACTAATCTGACTACATAGCCAAACTGCCTCTGTAACACAGTGCACCTATAGCTGAGTTCATTTCCACCTCTCCAGGAAGACAGGTTTTGGGGTATGACTGAGTTCTGTTCTAGCAAGAATAGAGAATTTCCTCTTTTCTACCATACCTGGAATTTGCAGGTGTCCTCTGCTAAGCCTGGGCAAAAGACTGGTATCAAAAGTCTCAAGATCTTTCAATGCTGACTTGTAATATACTTACAGCAACAAAGACTATGACTGAGGTAGTCAACCAGCAGTGGTAGATTGGTCAGGGAGCAGGAAGCGGAGCAGCAGATCTAGCTAGGAAGGGGAGCAGTGACACTAGAGGAGACAAATTTGCAGTACACCTGCCAAAAAGACGTCCCCACCAGACTCTGAAATGTAAGTGGTAGCTGCCTGTTAAGTGCTTCAGTGTGTCCCAGTAATCTGTACATGTGCTCATGGACCAGGCCTGCTGCTGCTGCTATTTAGAAGCAACTGGAGGCACTGCAAACTCCCAGGGAAGAGGCAAGGACTGACAGCAGCTGCATTAACTGTTAGAGCAGCACTTTGACCTGAAGCTGCTAATACAAGTGTCTTGCTTCTTCTTTAAAAGCAGATTTTAATGGCAAGCTACCATCTGTAACACTGGCTAACAGCAGCAAAACCTTTTCCTCACAAGCAAATGTTCCTATTTCTCTATGGCAGAGTTCTCTACGGTGTCAATCTCCATCACATTTAAATGCTATCCAGATAAACCATGCAAAGGTGGCTCTCACAACAAGGGTTGCAGGGGTAATCCTCACAGCAACCCTGAAGGATAGGTGCTCAGTCGCCGCTCCATGAAAAACCTGACAAGCGGGTAAAGCCAATGTTTTCCCAGCTCAGGTGCCTGCAGCAAAGGGGATTTTGCTGCCTGTCTTAAATCCCCAAGGGACTTAGCCAAAGCCAGGATTAGGGCTGGAGTGGCTGGCTCCTCTCCCTGTGCTCAGATCCAGCCTCTAGTGCAAACACCACCAAATTGTATTTAAAAGCTGCCGCCAGCAATTTAGCTTGTAGATAAGACACAAGAAGTTACTACCTTGGAAGGGGTAAACATTGGGTCAGTCAAATTGATAAGCTGAAAAGCATTTCCATTTTCACGTTCCATCCTACATGTTGCCAGATCTTGGAGCCTTCTGGCTCTCATCTTGCACTAGTCCAAGAGCTCCTATTAATGGGAAAAGACCTTGGAAGGTTCCACAAGGGAATGTCGCCTCAATGGGCAGGATGGTGAAGATGCCAAACCATTTGAAATATAGCGTGTTTTAGATTTTTTTAAGTTGCTTCTCCCCAGGGTGGGAGCAGACACACTGGGCTGCTGCTCTTTAGGAACAGCAGACGCACAACTACCCTACGCATACGCTCACACACTGCACATGCAACTAGCACTGCAGTGTTTCCATCCTTTGAGGGATCCCACCTCATCTGTCTGGCCCCCTAAGGTTAGGAACAGATGTGTTTATCCCTGGTCAAGTTGTGCCTGTTCGTCCTGGAACGGAAACATCCCAGGGTTGGCACCCAAGGTGAGTGGCTGAATGTGCTGCTGCTTTTCTGCCACTGATTCAATGATGCAACTCCAGGATAACTGTTCAGACGCACTTTCTGATGTCCTGGGATGAATTGTTACTACTGCTTATCCCACCAACTTTAGGATTTATCCCAGGACAATGGACACAGACATCTAAACACTTGCACTTTGCCCTGGGATAAGATGGTCTATCCCAGGATAAATGTGATGTCTGCTTGTAGCCTAATGCAGGAAAAGGATAGTAACAAAATGTAGTTACATGCACTTATACAATGGAGTGATGCCTTGGCAGGGACATCTTTTAGAAACAGATTTAGCCCTGTGATCATCCTTCACAGCATCTGCTTCCATTTCATTCAAAGAAGAGTTCTTTGCCAGTGTCTGAGACTCACAAAGGTTTAAGCCCTCGTTCCGCAATGTGGGAGTTGCCCAATAAAGATGAACGGCAGTGAGTAGATTTGTACATTAGAGTATTTTTATTTATGATTTTCAGGCTTTTATTTAAAAAAAAAAAAAAGAGTCTCCAAATGCGGACAGCAGACTGTTCCAGGGAACCCAAACCCGCTTACAGGGAATGAGTGGCAACGAGGGGGCCTCCAAGGGGAGGCAGCAGGCTCTCTCACCCCACAGATGGATGACATGTAAACACATTTAAATTACTATCCCATCTCTGGGCTTTCCCAGGCCACACACAGCTATCGGGAATCCCTTCGCAAGCGGTAGAGGGCGTGCAAATGAACCCCAGCAGGCCGTCCGGCTTCCCCGACAGCACTGCACTGCGCCCCGCGCGGGGAGCTGGGGAGTTGCATGTAGCACAATCCGCAGCTTTACAGACATATTCACAAGAGTTAAATACTTCTCCGTAATAAAAACGCATGTTTATAAATCCATTTCCCTGGTTTTATTAAATGTTCCACTTATGTACAGTTTAAAGATGAACCATTTACAGGTCTGCACACGCTGCCTCCTGCTTTCCTTGGGTGCTAGGGAAAGGTCTCAGAAACCTCTACGGAAACAGAAGGGAGCAGGTGCCTCTGATTTCGGTATGTCAAAATGCTTCTGGCTGATACCATAATACATACAATTAAAAAACCCTCAAACATGCAAATTGTAGAAAAATTTAAGCTGGCAGTGAAAAATAAAAACAAACGTCTTCCTTTTGTGCACATCACAGTTTGTTTCATTAAATCAGATTTCTAATCCTAAGGAACGTAGTGTCAGATGCCACTGGTTAAAGCAGGTTTATCAACTACTAGGAGTTTAAAAAGGTCAACGTTTAATGGTCCATACAGTTTTTAGCTCCCATCTATTGTACAGGAAGATCAAGACAGGCTTGATCTTCCTCTTTCATCATGTACCCTCTGTCAGTAATTCTTTGGAGTGAGGTGGGTGCCAGACAGTTCCCTGGTGGAGGAACAAAGCCGTCACACTCGGGGTCCCCCCGTTGTCAGAAAGTCAGCTTAGAAATAGGAGGCTGGTCTTAGCACTGCACCTCAACTCCCAAACTGTGGATCTCAGTTCAACCCCAGTTTAAATACTAATGGCTCCTAGGAACCGCGGCTGGCATTGAACAGGCAGCATTCTATCGCTTGTGTTTTAACCCCCTGTGTCAAGACTCACAAGCAAAATAATTGTTTGTTTTTTTTAAAAAAAGAAAAATCCCAAATCTTAATGGCCGATTATAGAAGTTTTCACACATTAAAGCAATAATTCATATCTAAAGTTACCACAGAAACCTAAATCTCTGGGTCAAGTGTTAAAAAAAATCTGTGTTAAGACAACCAAAAAATTTATATACTGGTTCATTAGCTACATATTTTTTTTTCCTTTCTTTAGAAATGGTCACATTGACGATGTATAATTCAAAACATTTCTGCACAATAAAACAGAAAACTATGATACAGTGAGGTAAAGAAAACGCAAAAATATTCACCCACAATATATCTTCAGAAAATACCAACACAGTGATTTTTCTTTTTCTTTAAAAAAAAAGAAAAGAAAAAAAAAAAAAGCACAAAACTTATAAATGAACAGCATAAATGGCTATTAATCTGATCGCCTATGAATTTCCTAAGCCCACGAATCCACAGGGAAGTGTAATGGTCTCATCCAACATTTAGTTAAAAATAACCCTTTCCGGATCATGATTCTCAGATCAGTGCTCACATTTCCATCAGATCCAACTCGGCGTCCTCAAAGCCGTAGAAGGACTCAGTCTCGCTTTCCCCTTCGAACAGCTGGTGGAGGATCTCTGGGTCGGCAGACTCCTCGGCCTGAGCCCTATCCTGGAAGTTGGCGTCTTCGTCCTGCTGCTCGTTGTTCAGCTTCAGCTGCTCCTCCAGTGAGGCAATCAGCTCCTCCTGCATGTCGGCGTTGCGCGTGGGGGAGTTAGCTGTGCCGTCGGGGCCGGGCAGCACGCTGGCCACCAGAAAGGATTGCTGCACCAGTTCAGGGCAGTCGCTAATGACCTCCAGCACCTCTGCCAGCCAGCACAGAACCAGCTGGAGGAGAATGTCCGAGTCGCAGGTGGAGTCCGCCATCTCCTTGGCTTGCTCTTTCCACTTTTTATGCAAGAAGTTTTTCACAGTCCTTTTTATGCAAACATCCAGGGGTTGGATTTTGGAGCTGCAGCCAGCGGGGACCACAGCAGGCAGAGTGCTGGAGGCGCTCAGCAGGGAAAGGACTTCCTCGGAGAGGTGTGTTCGGTGGCAATCCAGCACCAGCATGCCCTTGCTGTTCTGGCACTCTGTGTGTTTCTGCCACACTCTAGTTGACCACAACTCCATGATTTCGTCATCGCTGTATCCGTTTTCCTTGGCTTCCAAGATAATGGACTCCGGCACATTGGCAGGCTGATTCACGTGCCCCCGGAAGAACACCAGTGTGGGCAGCACGCTTCCGTCAGCCAAGATAGTGAGGACAACATCGCACCAGGGCTCTCCAGTCCCCACGGTCTGCAAAGCATTCTCCTTGCGGTCATC